TTCACCCTTTTACTGCGGCCAATCTTCATTAGAGAATAATGTATACTCGGGGGCATCATAAGGGTCCTTTGTGAGTGACACTGACCCAAAGACTGTTAATTTGAGAGCAGCTGAAATCTCCCAGCCGAGCTGGATAGTGAACAGAAACCTGCCTCAATGAATGGTGCCTCATATGAGTGCTTTCTTATTTCTGCCTTGGCCTACTTCTGGCTCAAAACCTCATTAAATAAGATCTCATGTTGAAGCTGGAAATAGAAAGAAAAGTTTTGGATGAGAACAATAATCACCTATGAAGCTGTGTAAATCTTAAGCCACTGGGAGTTCTGGGGAGACGCTGGTTAGACCGTGCATGGATGTTTCCTATAGATAAGTCTTTAAGTCTTTACTAATGTGCGTCATAAATGTGTTTATGTTTTTCTCTCTCACTATCATTCTGCTCCTCTCAAGGCAAACATGATGCCGTTCTTTAGAAATTCAAAGCAGAAAAACAGGATCCACACAGGCTTTGGACTCCAGAGATAAAAATATCCTCCCAGAGCAGCTGAATTCTTCAAACATCAGCCCCAACTGACTGTAAATGGTCTTGCATATTAAAAAGCCAACCTCTTTAATAAAGGTGGTAATTACTCTGATATCACAGTTCAGTTATTTTAGTGGGAAATTCATACCTCCTTACTTTGAAATATTAGGAGAATTGCAGGCCATTAAGACCAAAACATTTTCATATTTCAAAATGAGACAATCTCTGGTTCGTAGAGTTCAACTCATTTGGAACAGAGACTTGTTTTAAAGGGAACAACATGCAGAGCAGGTTAACTATATAAACATAAGGATGAAACGTCTAAAAACACAACTTTAAAAAATGTTGAAACTGGAAATAGTTCAATTACAAAGTATTTCTTTTTATTCTCCAAAACATCTCATTTGCAAATACAGTTTCTGCTTGTAGTAGTATCTGTGTACCACATACTCAAAAATGTCCTGGTTATATTTAGTTGCTGGTAGCGCTTGGTCATTGTCAGGGGAAAGACTGTCATCTTGGTTTAAGTCAAGAAACTTCAGCAAAGATGTGAATCATTAAAGGAAGAGTGATTGTTAAAGCTTATTCTATCTTTAACCCCAACCAAAGTGCTTTTGTTGCTTAAAGGTAACTACAGCTAGAACTGGGACTGTGCATGTAAAACATGTCTCTGGAGTCCACGTTCTGCACTGTGTAAGCATTTATCCTCCCCAATCACCTCCCAGTGTCTCAAGTGTAACAATCAAGCTGCATTTGTGAACGCAAAAAGCCATATTTTTCATTCGGACTCTATCTGCAGTTTCTCCTGCCAGCCCCCTAGTATATTTTCCACATGAAGTCAGAGTGAGCTTATGTGAGAACCCAGCAGGATATAATCAGGAGAATTCAACTTGAGCTAGTGGGAGGGGGTGGTGACGTTTATTCCCTGCGATTGGTGCACAACCACAGGCTGTATTAGGTTGTCTGTTTGCAAGTATGTTCTTCCATGCTCTTTTGTTGATGCTGTCTAACTACACAAAGCGTTAATATATATATAGACATACATTCTCAATATACCATCGTATAGCAGACTCTGTCGCTTCATCCACCACTTCCATGTCGTTCTTCTTACATCATGTCTTGCCTCAGGAGACCCACCAACCCTCCTCCTGTCTGACAGAGATAGTCTCCAGCTGTGAGGTGCATGTGTGAACAACCACATCAGGAGAAGTTCAGAGACAATCCTCATGAAATTCTCCTGAAATAACCTTCTGTCAATTTTCTGCGACAGTCGAGGTAGAAACTGGAAGAAACTGTCAATGAACCAAAATATTTCCCCCAGTTCTCAATCCAGAAATGTATCCAAGGACATAACATTTATAGGTTAATTCTGCTTTGGTACAAGTAGTCATTTGAAAAACTGTTCAATTAAAATTGAATCAAGGTCTCAATAAAGACACTTGATTTTGACTAATAAGGGTTATTGGCTACAGACTGAATATGTCATGGTGCTTTAACATCTATAGGTTTAGTCCCAGCAGACTCTGGTGTGAATGTATGTATATGTGTGTGTGTGTGTGTGTGTGTGTGTGTGTGTGTGCATGTGCGTGTGCGTGCGTGCGTGCGTGCGTGCGTGCGTGCGTGTGTGTGTGTGCGAGACTGTCTGTAGAATTTTGGTGCAGACAAAAAAACAGGTCCAAGTCCACTTCAAAAGAAGGCGCTCAGTTTGCCTCTAACCAAACTCTGGTGTGTCTTTGTTTGTTTGTGGTGTTACAGTTAAGCAAATGACTGTTAGGGACCAGAATATGAATTTAAAAGCATACGTATTATTAATTTAGTATGCTAGATGTGAGCAAACAATTTTCAAAGGGATCTATTTAAGCAACCTATATAATTATGCAAGATCATTTGGTAAACATGCTAACGTGTCAGCACGAGTGCAGAGAATTTCCATGATACATCAGAAAGATAAAAGAGAATGTCCTCGTTAAAAAACAAATTAGATCGCGATCACACAGAATCTACAGTATATTTCCTATGTTACAGAAAGAAACCCTTGTTTCATCCTTTTATTGCCACTGGCACTATTCCAGCCTGCTTTAAATATGCAGCCTCTTAACAAACGCCAAACCTAAACTCCATCACATCAGTTGGGATTCAAAGTCATTGTGACAAGTATGCCTTTTTGTAAGGGTATAACAAGACACAAAAATTTAATTTTTATGTTTAAAATTATTATTATTATTATTTTTTATGTGGAAAATGTTGCCACATCATCAAATTACTTTCCTGGATAAATTTCAGTCTGGTTTCAGGGTTGCTACCAATGCTATCTGCATTACTCAAGGTCAGAAATGGGCCATTTAAATAGTCTTGATTATTGGGGTTACTGTCCTGAGTTGGTCAATTCCTATCAAAAAATCAGATTGTTGTCCCTGACAAACTTAGGTTGTCAGTTTTTTTTCGGCTTTATGAAAGTAACTCACTGTACACGCTGGTATTTGTTAGTCATTCCTGTCCTGCCTGCAGCTTGTCCAAAATGCTGCTGACTGACTCCAGAAAGTCAGGGAGGGAGCATATCACTCCTAGCCTCTCTAAATATGCTTTTGGATGATTTAAGGTTGCTCTCTTTGTTTTTCATGCCTTGAATGGCCTTTCCCAACTTCGTAGTAGTGGACTCCACATGATCCACTTTCAGGATGCTTGCTATACTGTGTTTATGCTTATGTGTCTTTCCTTTTTTTTTATCCCTGTAGTGCTTGGTTCTTATGTACAGTACTGTTAAATTTGGCTTCTACACTACTGTACTTTGGTCAGCTGCTGCTATTTTTGAAAGCACTTTATGAATACATCTGAATGATTGACAGAGTGATTGATTAATCTTCAGTTAGTCCTGTTGCAGTCAGGACTTATAATACTCATGAACAGTTTTGTCTTTGAGAGCTCTTCATGACACCAAAGTAGTCAAACAAACACATACTGTAAGGTGCGGTAATATGCTAATGACTTCCTGTGAGTCACCAGAGTTAGATTTTTTTAAATGTGAGTTTATATGTTCCATCGTGACAGTCATCAACATTTTCTGATGAATTAAATATCCTCAGGTTCATCCTTTGAGTTAAATATTTACAGCTCTCTCACTTTTTTTTGTAATAATTCTGTGTAATAAGGAAACACGTATAATAAGGAAACAATTGGTCATCAATCGAGTGTTAAAATAATATAGTTTTATTCTTATCTATAGTCAAGTCCTACTGAAGATAACTTGTTTTTTTATTTTCCGTTGGAGTTAGATGAAAGGATTGACAACACTTAGACCAAGTATGTAAACAGGTGTAATGAAGTTACTGTTAGCTGGCAAGAAACATATAACCCTGCCTTGTCTGTCTTCACCCATCTCCCTCAATCTCTCTATTTTCTGTACATCCAGTTGTGATAGATGGCTGTTCACCATGGAGTCTGGTTCTGTTTGAGGTCTCTGCCTGTTAGAAGTTTTAGCTTAAGGTCTAGTCCACATGAAAACGCAAAACACACTGTTACGGCTGTCAGGAGCATTCCAAATCAAAAACAACGTCCTTGACATGCTAAAAGTTTCTCGCCATTCCTCTGCGATGACCATTTCATCGACAAAGTTGTCCATTAAGGCGCCTCAGCTCGTAGGCATAGTGGGAGAGCAACTGTGTATGTTATGTGTTAGCATGTAAAAAAGTCCAGTTAGCAACATTAAAACCAGTAACAGTTTAATTACGTCTGCTATCGCACTAATCTCATGCAAACAAAAGTGAAAACGATGTGCAATCAAAAATACCCGCCTAAGTGTGGACTAGGCCTAACACTGTTGCCAAATGTTGCTAAGTGCTTAGTCATGCTGGATTTATGTTGGGTCTCTGTGGCAAATCTAAAAATGAGTACTTTTCTTTTGTACACGTCTAGACTGGCTCTTTTTGTAAAGTGTCTTGAGTGAACTTTTGATTAATTTTGTGCTTTATTATTACAAATTGTTTGATTGTCTAACCCACAGTTTGTCATTTTGCTACTTTTCCACAACGTCAGGAGAACAGTTTACTCCTGTTTCATGTGGTCGTGCTAAGCTTACATAATAAGCTGCTGACTGCCGTTTAAAACGGGCCCGACAGATGTGATAGTAAATCGATTTTCTTACTAAGTCTCTGCAGAAAAGCAAATAAACATATTCTTCCTAAACATATAACTATTTATTTAAAGGCTTGTGTTGCTTTGCTCTGCATCCTCTTTTCATCCTTAACTCTGACTGCTGCAGCTCTTTGAGTATTTGACAAGTGATTTTTTTAGTTTTGTTTTCCTATTCAACCTTGCACACCCTCACTTGCATGCATTTTAAAAAACAAACCCAGAGCCACAAAAAAGGCTGACCATATTTTTATGCACCACCACGTTTGACTGTGTTGATGTTTCGGGTGAGCGTTTGACTTTGTTGTTTGCACACTGACGGCTTTATGCCTGTTTGTGTTTCTCCTTGCAGTTGGGAGGATGTGGCATACTGGGGGTGGGAGTCTGGCTCTCAGTGACCCAGGGAAACTTTGCCACCCTGTCATCATCCCTTCCCTCCCTGTCGGCAGCCAACCTGCTCATCGCAGTGGGGACAATCATCATGGTGATTGGCTGTCTGGGCTGTGTGGGAGCTGTCAAGGAGAGCCGTCCTCTGCTGCTCACGGTAAGACGTTTGCATGAAAGGTTTGTGATGCAAAGGCTGATTGAAACCTTGAAGACTAAAGGTTGCGCTGATGTTATGACGCCACATTCTTATATATCACTTTGTTGTTGTTGACGTTACCAAAACATCAATAACAACTCCACATTCCAATTTAGCAAGATATATATCTTTTTCCCTCTTATTCTCACTGATTGTTCAGACACACTGCAGATTCAACCTGTATCCATTTCTTCAAAGCTTTTACAATCACTGTTGTGAACAGCTGTTGTTTGGTTGAGAAAAATATCATCTGCACAACCACTCTTTCAATTAGCATGTAAAATAATTGTTTGTGATAAACAGGAGCAGGACTGCACAGTAATTATAAGTTTCAGTAGTCATTATCGCCTAAAAGACAAAAGTAGGACAGTAATGACAGAAACCCACGATCTCATTTGTTAACTAATCTAAAGACATGCATATTGATGAAAAACAGAATGTGTGAGCAGTTGTTACATTGTTTTTGGATTGTTGGACGAGTTGCTATATTATGGACAATGCGTCAACATAAAGGTTTTTATTTCTTACTGACAATCAATAACAATAGTGATGACTATACATATCCATGGCTTATACGAACGTGCGCTTCACAGACTGACACAGATTAGTCCAATTATATGACCTTAAAGTGTAAACAAACTTTGAAACTGTGTCCTCAAACCGTTGCGGAAAAATAATTACCAAATACCAACCCCAACCCAAGTGTAGTTACTTAAATATCTTGCAATACGCTTCTAATTAAATCACTACATGTCCTTAGGTGAAATTTGAATGGAAACTTTTAAAATCCCTGTCTCTATTGAAGCCAAATTGTCCTACATTAACCCTGGAGCAGGGCATACTAACAGCATTAACATCTTTTCCATCATTGAATGGCCATACCTATGTATGCCTTGTGTTTTAAATACGGTTCCAAATCTGTTTTCATAAATACTAAAAAAAATGCAAAACATGTTGCAATACAGATAAATACTGTTTCAATGGTTCAAAGATGTAAATACAAATGTATGGCCTTCCTGGGCTTATAATGGAAAACTGCTCTTCAGTATTTGGGTAAGTTGAGTGTCATGCCCTGTTGTCAGAGGAGCTGACCTCCTTGAACGTGGAACCCCTGCTGACATAGTTACTCTGTTTTTATTTAGATTCATGTCTGGAGATGGTTTTTGTTGCTCTCAGTACATCTGCTTGTTTGTTCGATGGTTTCCATTCAGCTGCTGTCTCTCATCCTGAAGTATTGACAGCAACATTGTAATCACAGAAGAGAGCAGTGCTTCATGACCATGACCACTTATCATACCACTTATTGTCAGTCGATAAGTGCAGATACTGTAGTTTTTAGTGGCATGAATCCTACTATACTTCAGTCAGACAACTCACGTTTGTATTGTTTGAAATATTTATTGCAGCAGCAGATCATCATTTAACATGCAGAAATTGGGGAGTGATGACATTAAATCTTAAACCCCCACGGCGCCTGCAGGTGGATGCTGGGTTGGTGGGGGGATTTAAGTGCAGCACTGGTATAAACAGCAAAGCAATGATAAAGCAGAGAGAGACCGCCCAATTAGGAGGAAGTGTGTTAGGGGAGATTGTGAGAATGAAGCATATCAGTGTGAAACCAGTGTAGCTCGAGTTGTCTGCCTGGACCAGTTCTCAGGCGTCGCCCCATTTTTGCAAATAAATTCACTAGTTCTCATGTAAAAAAATAATTTTTGGTCATAAATCTCCAACATTTAGATCAAAAATGAATTTGAATTATTTCTGATGCTTATTATTTAGAGTTTAATCTGCAGTAAATATGTGAAACAACACTTAAAATTTCTCAAAAGCCACAAATGCAATTGACCATTTCACATAGAGTAATACTAACAACAAATATATAATTTGCTGAAAAATATGCTTAAATTATCATCCTTCAATGAAATGTAAATATGAGACTAACATGGACAGAAGTCAAAATTATGGAAGAAATTTTAAAAATCATTCAACTATAAATAAGCAGCCAGCATGATATGTAGATAATTATCATTTGGAGAAAAGTCATGTTGAATTTTATTTTTCCAGCAGAGGACTCTGAACCTGAGTTTGCCATTGGGAAAAAGAGATATTTATACTCACTTACATGAAAATCAGGCCACAGGGAGTGTTTGACATCAAATATTGAACTTTTTTTTTGCTCTAATTTGAACAAAGTTTGTGCTTAAAGCCTCTATTTCAAACCAGGTATACCTGATAAAGTGTAACCCCCAGATCCTGACAGCATTGATGATTAATAAACAAACAAAAGCTGATGTAATCAGGCCACGACGCTGTGCAGCATTTATCACAAAGAATAATTCTGTCAGGGGGGAAAATAGCATTAATCATTAGAAAAATGGCACAGCAGGAGGAAGCAATTATGAGCTCTGTGGGAAAAAGTCTCGGTGTCGATCATTAGTATGATCCATGACATTTTCCCTACAGTGACCAGACTAAATCCAGCGCTGTGTCAATATAATGAGACCGGGCAAATTAGAAGTGTGCTTTAATGAGTGACAGAGCTAACTGTTCTGCACGGAGATTAGAAAAGACGTCTCTGCCTTGAAGATTCAGGGCTAATTATCATGTTGATCACTGATGAGGGACACTGAGGATTGAAACATCCCTGTGATATGTTTGAGGAATTACTGTTGCTCTGTGCTGGCACACACACGTATTATTGCCTTTGTGTGCATACTCATTTGCAACAACAAACATCGCAGTTGCCGGTTTACAGTTCTCAAAATAAGCTTTTGCATTTTCTCTTCTGAATGGTCTCAAAGACATTTTTAGCTTTAAAATTAATTTAAAACTTTATACACATTTTTTAAACAAATGGCCAGTCTGTTTTCTCCTGATTTTGAGGGCAGAAGTATTGCTGAAGCCATCAAACAAAGTACTCATAAAGAAATGTTGTTGAAGTATTTGTTTGGGAAAAAAAGGAGGCCTTAAAACAGCCTGAATATTATCTGATGCAGAAACATATTGTAAATGGTAAGAACAGCATTTTCTGCCAAAGTTAGATCAAACGACTTTGAAAAGGATGTAGGAAGATATTTCAGGTGTGCATGATGCTGGAAGAAGTCCTGTTCTTTTTTCTGCATAGACAATATTGAATGACTGTTGGAGCTCTTCCAAGGCTTTTTAAAAAGAAAAATCTAGTTCTTCGATCCAAAAGAAGTCAAAGCACAGATACAAGCCTGCCAACTTAAGCAGAAAAGTTGGATTTGAGTTCTAAGGTGCACTTTGGTCACAAAGATTCAATCACTGAGTTTAAAATTCAATCGTGTCTGCTGCAGTCACACTGTGTAGTAACATGATCAAATATGCATGTATTTAAAGCTTCAGTTTCTAATTTTGACTTCAACTTTGGTTCAGTTCTGTAACTATGGTGTAGTGTTTTGCTCCCAATTATATGAACAAAGTGTTTCTCATATGCAGTAACTGAGGCTGTCTTCTTCTCCTAAGCAGAACCTAATTGGAGTTCTATCTTATTAGAGAATTGCCAGGCAACCAGCAACACATCAGGAAGTAGCTGCAGCAGGTCCAGAAATGGAGCATCCAAACAGACCCCATAAAACCACAACTTGTCATTACTGCACATCGAGATACATCCTGTTAATTAATGAGTTTCAGAGGCGCTGGTAGGCAGACTTAGTGACCTCTGATAAAGGCATTCTTCATTGTTTGATGTCCTCATGCTAAGCTAAGCTACCTGGCTACTGGTTCAAACTTAAATTGAACTGAGAGATATTGTAACTCTCAAGACAACGGATTGAGTAAGTTTCCCAAAACACAAAGCTATTCTTCTGACATTACAATGTCTGGAAAATGCACCCTCCTCCTATTCAATTATATTTTTGCAAATAAAGCAAAAATTGAAAAGATGATGTCATATACCTGTGTTCCAATCAGAGTTAAGCAATAGCTAAATCAATTTGAAAGAAGTTTCCAGGTGCTCTCACACCGTTGTTTGGTGAGAATGTTTGTGTCTGTCACTGATAATCATTGCATTGTTGCTGTTAAGAAGAAAATACATGATAAAAATAATAAAAATAGTCTTGCAGGCCAGACTCTATTTACTAGTTAAGATCTGAAATTGGATGCGTTTCCTCGTTTAACAGGGATCTTTTTGACGCAGATTTTACAAATTGCCTCATCTAAATTAGCTGGGTCTCCTTTTTCAAATGGCTGAAAGCAAAACTGTTTCCAAAGGGGTGAAGTTACATTCAGTTTAGGTACCAATGCAGTTGGCACTGTTTCCATCTGAACAGGAAGTGGATTGAGGTGACTTCACATGTGCCGGTGATGGTGGCCTGCCATGCTCCGTGGCTGGCTGGTTAATATCGTGGTCATTCATTTTTGCGGTTACTGCGACAGTCCTAATTGTAGGTCTCGATAACACCTCTTCAGCAAACCAATGACGTCCATGTTTTATACAATCAGCTACTATTAATATAAACCTATTAATTAATAAAAACACATTTTTGCTTCTCAACTACAACTATTTTGTGTTGTTTATTCCAAAGGGGAAAAAAGGCCTTCTAGAGAAACTTTTGTCTTTCAGGTGCTTAAGGAAAAACACACTTGTCAATATTCAAGTGTTATGCCAGTCATAACATTTAACTACTTTTTGGAACAACATGCTATGCTCTGTCTTTATAAACAGAAAATAAGAGCATTTCATCAGGGCAATGGGTAATTAAAGTCATGTTTCGCACCAGTGAGTACTGTCGGTCAATACTAATGCAGGTTAGAGGGCACAGAGGAGGTGTGGTGGGTCTGTGACCTGATCTGCTCACAAATTAGTGAGAAAGGTGAGGACACCGTGGTGTGAATGGAATAAAATTGTTAACAGAGAGCAGGTCTGAGATTTAGAGCCTGTTAATGATTAGACCCCCCACATCAAAAGAACAGGTGTATAACCTCAAAGGCTTCCCTCT